ACACGGTTCTAAGTGGCATTTTAGGTTCGAGATGGCATTATACATTAGAGATACGAACTTCTTTCGCCATTTTTGAATTGTATAATGTCACAAAAGTTCATAGAGGGCAGCACTAGGATATACAGCATTTCCCGCGGAATTAAAAGATAAAATGTACCTTAACCCACCAACGGCACAAAAAAATATGAAAGAAAGAATTCAAGAAACGTGTGAATGGTTACTTCAGGAACAAGTAAAAATGCTGTTTCTTTATTAGGAAATAGATTGCATCGCTGTATTAAATTTGAGGGGCATCAGTTCGAGCACCTATAGATAGTAAGTACGTATTCAAAATTGTTGTGTAAATATCTCGTTAACTGTTAGGTTTAGGACATATGAAGGTCAACACATTTTTACTCAGAATTTGCTCTATCGACCTATCTTACAAAAATCAAGGTGACCCTGAAATCTCTGAAATGCCTTCACCCACAAAAAAAAGTGCATACTTTATAAGATGTGTCCCTTGATGTCATTTAACTTCCATGCCTCCCAATTTTTATAAGTTTTATAAGCCCCTTTTAGAGTCGTATTGTAGACACCATGAGGATTCGAACTATATATAAACAAAATCGATTTTTTGAACCGAAAGATCCGAAACCTCCCCTTAAGTCATTATGCGAGGTGATCAAGTTAGTTGAAACACCCTGTTTACATTTTCGTATTATGAAAGGAAGCACTTAACCTGCTAGTTGTGTTTGTAGAGGGTTATTTAACTTGCAGTTTTCCATTGAATGAGACATGCATAGTTCCAGCAACCACGCTCGTTTTTGCGAGCAACGAGAACACCCTAAAGAGAGTTTCGCATAGATTCATATTTCCACTGACGCCAAGGAAGTCGGCCGTCTCAGCGAGACAGCAAATGGAAACATTTAAACGGGCCACATCTCGACAATAGATATAACGGGCCAGCAACATGGCTTACCGTGGGATTATAACACCGGGGTTTTGATCCGGGCAAACCGACTAGCATTAATACAATTAGCGGAGCTTTCCAAAGTACCGTAACGTGCGCGCCCGTATTCGGAGGTCGCCTCTTGGACTTGCCCCAAATATTCGCTAGCTGTCCACGAATTCTATTACCGAACCGCTGTATAGTCCCAATATGGTTCTCTGTGCCGCAAATATTTCATGGCGTCAGTCGAGCCGTGAAACGGTATCGCGAAAAGCGAATAAAGAGTTGAAATTGCGGGGGAGTACGGAAGAAGAAGGATAGGCGAATTAGGAGATTGTGTTTCGGAAGAACTAAGAATTACAGTGGGTGTAAAAAGTATTCGTACACCCTTTAAAACGGAACAACTCTTGTAAAATTGGTCCAAATGACTTGAGTTTTTTTGTGAAGTTAGAGACATTAATTTACTAAATGATGTGAAAAAAAAATTTGAAAAAGTTGCAATTGGTCCGAATCGCGAAGAAAATATTAAAGGTCGTGTTTTACAACTTTTTAATCTGAGGCTATAATGAAAATTTAATAAATACATATCGAAGATTTATGTTAGTTATATACATGTTGAAAATTTACAGAGTTACAGACGTTAAAAAATGCACATTTTATATGAATGTAAAGTAGACTTGAAACTTTAAACGGGTTTTTCTCGAAACTATTGTACATTTTTTAAATCGGTGATCAATATTTCTCGAAAACTACTGTGTCGATTTACATGAAGCCTTTTGCGCCTTATTTCAAATCAGAAAAACTTGTCCTTTAACGAAGGATTCTTTTGTTCGTTCCATACTTTTTTTTTAATTCACCAAAAACGAGTGATTTTTTAGGTGAAAATCGCACTTTTTCAGGAAAACGTCCGCTATTTTGTTCCTTATCAATATTTCTAAAAAACCCACGTTCAAGGACAAGATTGGTTCTTCCATTACATAAATCTTACTGAATTTTTAATTTCAGATGAACCGTTACGAAGTTACAATGATCACGGCAGACCACTTTTTGTGAAGAGACATCCGGGAGATCGCTCACCATTTATTTACTAATAAATATTTTTAAATAAAAAAATTACCTTATAATCTAGAAACTGCAATCTTTGAAACACAAACACATTTTTCGAAAAAGGTCTTATAGTTTTCTAGAAAAAAATTCCTAAATAACACTCTTTTCTCGGCCTCCTGACTGAGCATGACCCCTTAATGGTTCTCAGCAGTTGTCTTGTTGGTCGGACCGAGTTATAGAAACCAGTTAACATTACAATCGAAACGCTACCATCCCTTTGTCGTCTGGCACTCCCACAAGGATTTCATCGATGACAAGACACCAATACCTTTGACACCTGGAGACCTATTCATGTACGGTATAAAACGGACTCGATCAGCTTCAAAGGCAATTCCAGCGCGGTTCGACTGGCCGACACCTCGGGGTTAGAGAGCGTCAAACGACCCTGCGGATGAACGGTCAATTCGTTCATTTTTTAGATCTACACGTTTTGTGACAAAGTGAGCAATGGCCATGTACACGCGGAATTCTCAGACGACAAGGCTTCCACGTTCGAAATCGATTTCGCGTCGACACCTCGTATCTAAATATCACCGGGGGCTTATTCTTGTTTAAGTAAGTGTGACTTCTCTTCAACTGTTTCGTTCACTTCCAAAACTGGGAAACTTTCACAAAGGAAGGTGAAAGTAATTGTTCTTCGCAGTGTTATAAAGACAAATGAAATACTACGTTCTTGATATAAACTCCATGTCTTTTGAAATCAATCGTGCAATAAATGCATTTACTGAAATACTCATTTCATGCTCGACTATTTCGCTAATAAAATGAAACGGGTTTCGTAACTTTCCTTGACTATTGATTTTCTCCTAGACCCTTAGTTTTTTAAATAAATTGAAGAATATCAGTTTTCGGTTGTCCTTTTCACTTTGATCATTATTTAAACATATTTAAATAACTATAATATAATAACAATTTTCAATTTACATCATTTCGTTCAGGAGAGTCCAGAGAATTATTTGGTGTCAAACGCAATTGAATAACTGTTACCGTAAAAGCACAACACATCCCCAAAGTTGAAAATTTGACATTTAAAAAAAATTGATTTTTTCGAAAACTGTGCTTAAAAAAAAACGGTTTGCAGATTCATATTCAGCTCATGAAGGTCTATCGGAAATGCCTATTGAAGGTTACGAGGTTTCTTACGTGTTGAACAGCGTAATCTATTAAACTGATTTATTTCGCCGATAGTTAATAACTAAGACTCAAACATTCGGTGCAGAAGTTATTACAATATTTCAAGCATACAATTCCTTATGTCTCACGGGCCAGCCAATTGTGTCTACTGAACTGTGTATTGCAGTATGTTATTCGAGACATCGTGGTTGTAATATCCGCGATGCTGCTTCTTGGCTGCAGCCGATACGATAAGAATCGTCTTCCAAAGACGAGAAATCGAGGTGGTTCCGATAAAGCAACGAGATTAGTATCGTCGCCATAACAAGGGCGAAATGTTACTCATTTCGTAGCCCACATGCTGCACCGATTCCGAACGTGTCGGGCTCAATAGCGACCGTGATATTGCGTTTCTGGTACGTACAGACCTACAGACCTGAGTATTGTTGATCAGTTATCGTCCCTGATACGGGCGAGATACCCTGAACAAAGTGAACTTGATTTCTGTTATTCCACGACTAAATTTCATTGTCGACGCAAGAAGCACTTAAAAAATCAACGGATAATCTGTAAACGTTGCTCTGCTAGAATAACAGGAAAATCAAAGTTTCCATGTACGTAGAAAAATCGTTCAGGTTGTATGTTACGAAATATTTTATTTCGTAATTATTCAGTTCCCCATTTCGAGTTCATGGATAAGAAAACCGAAACTCTATATATATTACTGTAACAGTATTAATCATTGCTCTTCACCTTACGCCATTTTCACCGATAGAAAAATATTGTCTTGTTAGAAGAACGAAAAGATTAAAGTTTTCATTTCCGTAAAGGAATTGCATAGATCATATATTAACAAATATTCTATTCACTAATTACTAAGTGCACCAATTAGAATTTATGCATGAGAAAAAATAAATTCCATACTCTTATAGTAGTATTGGCCATAGCATAGTTCTTCGTTCAAGGCTTGTTGAACTTAAACCTATGTTGCCATTTTATTAAGAGTATAGTGGATGAGTAGTTCAATAAATTTAATATTACTTGTTGGATTGATTTGAACTTGATTTGTCTATTATTATAGCCCGTTTATTGGTAAATATTCTAATACTTAGAATGCGACAGAGGTATGTGTAATAATTAAACGGATAGTAAATAATTGCATTTTGCCCGATAATAACTCCTTGTTTCTGTTTGTTGTATATTGATTTTGTCTGTTGCGTTATAAAGATCATGGTCCTACTATTGGTGCTTCAATATTTAAGTTAATTATACAGTAAATCCTCGATGAGTGTTCGAAGGCTTCTCGGTATTGGCAAGGAGACACTTTTTAATGAGATTTAGCAAATTGATAGCACTTGGGAGTTCTGAATCCAATGATATTTGTTAAAGCTGCCTATGGCCATTAGTTTATGGACTATTTAATGTTCAGTATCGTGGAGCCTTCGAACACTCATCGCGGATTTACTGTACAGCAATGTCTCGATGAGTGCGACGTACCCGAATCCGCTTCGGAGAATTCATGCCAAGGCGAAAAGGTTTTCATCCCCTAATAATTTTTTTTTTCACGCGAAGTCGAGCCTCTGCTTAGCTTCTGTTTACTCTGTTTTGATTAATTTCAGACATTAATTCCGTTGTTTGTGTTGCATTCATCGAGAAATCACTATAATATGTAAAGGGTAATGGAGGTACTATGAGCTGTTCGTATGGCAACGAATTGTCTATCTTGGTAATAATTCGATTACAATTAAAGTAGCGCTTTAATTATTTATGAGACTATACACTGAAGATGCACTGAAATGCGTTCGAACACACAACGTAAATTTGCTCAATTGGCGAAGTTCATACTTACTAAGGCGGGATAGCTTGTAAGCATCCGCGGTATTAATTACGTCTACGAAAGCCTGCAACTCAAACTTCCGAGTGGTGGTGTTTTGGTTGTGGTTGAACATCGCAAATTTGAAGGCTGACTGAACCTCGTCGGTGCCCTGCTCGAATATTGCACCTGAAATTAGAAAGAGAGGACGTTCACTTTCGCGTGCAAAGACCTTCGGTACATAATAAAATAAAACATTCAGATGAATTCTAAACGAAGCAGACATACCTACTCGGTGACATAAAAAAACGTCTATGCTCAAAGTGTAATAAGTGTACTTTTTAATCTAACATAAATATAGTAATAAAAAAAATATATGTAGTAAGCATCCAAATAAAATAGGTGGCAATCATATCCAGAAATAGTTTCCTCGCAAACAAAGGACTTAATAAATATTTGTACCGATCAAGTAGATAGGAATACGTACAGATTAAATATATTGACTGTATATATTTTGACATTTAATAGATTCTAAGAAGATTGAATGTATCGTGGATAGAAATTATTGATAAAGTCTGAAGCTGACTTTCCTCTTCAGTCAAATCAATTTTCCATATATACACATAATTTTATTATGAATACTTTATACTAAAGAAATATCATTTACATGTATATTACTTAACATAGAACTTCTTATTAATATCTTCAGACAATTGTGAGATTCAATTGTAACTTCAATGTCGTATGACAATGAAGTGGTATCAGTTTCGAATTGCTATCGTTCCTTATAACGCAAGAATCATTGTTTCACTTCTTCATTTAATCGTCTAAACATTCGCTGTTCTACTACCCTGAACCTACAAAAAATGATTACCTTCATATTATAACCCCTTGATACCATACAACTTTTGTAAATAACATTTTTTCATGTCCCTTAAAATAATGTAAATATTCCAAGTCAACATAGTTATTGAGCCACTCTGCATAACTGGTGGCTCCATAGGTTTATTAAATCATCATAAAGTAATGTACAATTTCATTACTTCGAAATAATCTTTCTATTGAAATCGCTGTATTGAAGTTGAGGGGAATCAGTTCGAGCACCTACACCCTACACGTATAACTTCCAGATAGTAAGTACATATTAAAAGTTATTTTGTAAATACCTTGTTAACTATTAGGATTAGGAAGTATGAAGGTCAACACACATTAAGTAATTCTATTTGTAATTAAACGGAGATATTTAGTTCTTTTTATTATTTATGGTCGCATCAACCAACCACTTGTTTGGGTAATTCAGGATATCAATAACAACACGTTTAAATAAATTTACTAGTATTGGTATCCTTTAAAGTGTCCTTAATGATGGGATTAATGTTAAATTGTTGTGTGTAGGTAGCACATTTTTTGTATTGGAGAATGATGCACGAATCACAGGATGGGGGTCTTGTTTAATGAAGATCTAGTGATGGGTGATTTTCGTATATCCTATTCTTATCGCTGCGATTTAATAATTCATTTCATTCATACCTGTGAATATTCACGTGTTCGACCAAACATGTTAATCACATTACCTATATACATTTATTTGTAGAATGTTTGTTAGATGAAGGGTATTTTTAATTACACTGGAACAATAATCAGCAGAAAATTCTCATTTTCATAAGTTACTGTATACGAATTAACATCATGGACAACTTGTTTCTATAAAATATATTTATCATGTTAAATATAGGATACAAATATTAGAAAATGTTCGATATACACGTATGTATAATCACTCTGTCAAACGAATATTCCATTACAGTTTCCTATTATTTTCTAAAAGATAATTAAATCTCAGGATTATTTTGCTACGAACGTAGGATTTGTAAAAACAGGGATTCGAGATACAAACTATGTTTTTAAAATCGCGAGAAAATAAGCGGCTGCCTCGCATTGGTATCATTTTCTTTACGTACACGAAACTCACGCCCCGCTGAATTTGACTTTATTTCAGCTGTTTCTGTTTCATTTCGAAATGAGAGAACTTTTCACACGCCCGGGAAGGTGCTCGCTGTAACGTTACGTAATATTATTCCAGGATTTTTCTTCTTTCTCAGCCGGTTTCTTTCGCGCCTCTGACACCGGCACGTTCCACTATTCATGTTTTCTCCGCCGTCGCAAAGCCGCGAAATCCTTAAAGAATAGCGTATCACTGCAAAGCGAATCACGTAGATATATGAAATCAATCTTGAGGGACGTCTTCCCAGGGAAATGCACAATCCCGACATTTATACGTTACTGCCTTTGCTTATCATTACCTGACAATTCACATACCGAAATTGGATACTAAGGATCACCGTAAATTTTTCGAAACATTCGCTGCCCTCGACGTTTCTTATGACCAGACTGTGAATTTGATTTATTTATGATAACGTAACATATCAAATGGAATGAAAAAAAAGACATTATTGACTATGCTGTGTTGCAAAATTTATAATTTACTTCTGTGCTTGGGAATCTTACACGCCGAATTAGGTAACTTAGTACAAATAATTAGCATGATAGGAAGAAATTCAAGGTGTTCTCAAACGAACCCTTCATTAAATTTTTTTATTTTCCCATGAACTTGCAATCTCCCTGTTGGCAAAAAATGAATATACTAGCAGGTATTATAACAATAACACGTGGGTGTACCCCCAATGACTTGCATCATTCAAATGAAAAATCTAACATATATCTTGACTTCTTTAAAATTATTTAAATCTTTTCAAATTCAGAGTTTGGCAGCGTTTTAAAGTTTAAATGCTTATAGTGTGATTTTCTCACTCACTAAATTTACTGCTACACGATTCGGGTAAGTATTAAGTCCGTTTACACCCAAATTAGCAATTTCTGTCTTCATTCTTAGGATTTGTAAGTCTTTTCTTATTATTTCATTCCTAACAAACCATGGAGTTTTAATTATTGTTCACAGTAGATCTTAATTGGAATCTTTCGAATATTAGTGTTTGAAGCTGATCTCCATAATTGTATTCTATATGTTCAAACTAATTTTAGTACACTTTTATAAAGTCGTACTTAGATTTTATTAACCTTCAGAGGACAGGCAGGTTTTTTCATAATTTTTTATATTTTCGCAGCAGCCGATGATTCCGCCGATAAATCGGGAGAACTTCTGTGGTGGAGACGTGCACAAAACTTCAGTCAATCCGCGGTACAAAAGATGCAAGTGAGAGGCACGTGTACGTGGTCCCTGCACTTGTTTCCACTGGAAGATGATACTGCCGATAGCGGTGGCCGTCTCACCTTGCGCTTCTGTTGCGCCATCGCGTCGTTGAGAACCATTGTCGCCGTGTGTTTTGCTAAACTATTTCGCTTCCCTATTTAAAACAAAGCAGATTTTGTAACTTTCCTTGACAGTGTCCTGAACAGAAAGGTCTGCTCTATCGCGTGCTATGGTTAGATTTTCTTCTAAACCTTTAGTTTTTGAATAAATAAAATAATATCAGAAAAAAGTGGTGCATTTTCGGTGTGCTTTTCATTTTGAACATTATTTAAACATATTTAGATGTCTATAATCTAACAACAGTTTATATCATTTTGTTCGCAAGAGTCCAGAGAATTAATTCGTGTAAAAAGAAACTGAAAATTTGCAATTTTCTTCAAATTTCATATTTTCAAAAACTGGACATGCTGGAAAGAAACAGTTTACAGATTCGTATTTAGCTCATAAAGATGTATCAGAAACGCTTATTGACAATTGCAGAAACGAAAAAATGTTAAAATGTGTTGAACAGTGTAATCAAAAGTTCCCGGGTATTGAATACAACGAGTAGTTTTAAATACCAATCTGGTTATCCCTGTTTATGTCGGCGAGCGTTGACAGGTGGGGCGCCGCCGCGCGTCTATTGATTGGTACCCAGTCTCCCCACCAGAGTGCTCACACTGACATCGATTCCCATCACCCTCCCACGACTCTGTCCTTCAACGCCGACTGTTACCCCTTCCTTCCACCTCCGTTTTCCGTCTGCCGCCCTTCTCTCTTCTTGTCATGGTCTGCAATATTTTTTTTTCAGCCCCCCACCCCCCTCACGAAAATCGTCTTTTTTTTTCAGCGTTGCGCTTGGACACCAATGTGTTCATTTACCCCTCGAACCCTCTTTTGGCACTTCCTGCGTTGCCCGGGTTTCACCTTCTTCGGCTCGTTTCAATGTCATTTTCTAGACGTTCCTGCGAACGATCGATTTTTTTTTGTTCCCGACATTTGTTACCATTTTAGGTTCCGTTCGACCCCCGATAGTTCTTGGGCACCATTTTTCTCCCCGTCCACGTTTAATTATTCTTCTGTTCTGTAATTTATTTCAATTCTTTCGTGTTGTTCTTTCAACGTTGCCCCGTCGTCAAGCCCTCGTTTTGTCCCTTTGTCACCGCCGCGTTGCAAGCCAATCAGCCGACCGTCCTGCATACCATCCTTTATCTAGTAAATTCTTAAAACTCTCTAAATCTCTTCGCCATATCCCCCGTGCATTTTCCCTTCCTTCTGCTTGTCTTTCGATCCGACTCTACGTTGGACACCTCGCCCCTTATATACTTCTTGTTTCAGGATATCTTTCAGTTGTTCAGTTCAATCTCGCCCTGATTGAAAATTTGGAACGTTCTGACACAACCAGTCATTGTAGGTTGTTGTTAAATTTCTGATAATAATAATAATTTTCGAGAAAGTATTTGAACATTAACGCTAAAATTTTTAAATGGAGAACAGTGTGAGGCAACCTGATTGATGCACCTTGTCGTTTAATTTCTGGTAACAGTATTAATTTCGGAGAAAGAATTCTGACATCGACATTCGGAATAGAAAATGGAGAACAGTGTGATAACCGATCGATGGTTTGTTGTTTAGTTTCTGGTAACAGTAATAATTTTGGAGGAAGAGTTCTTTCATTACGACTAGAATTAAAAAGTGGCGAACAATGTGACACGACAGATCTGTATAGGTTGTTGCAAATGTTATTTTCTGATAACACTGTTTTGGAGAAAAAATTCTTCCTTTAAGGAGAGAATTACTAAAGCAGTCAAACTAACGAGTTCGCAAACTATTATAAAAATTATTCCTTAAGATTTCAGGAACTATTATTGCGATATATAAGAAAGAAATTTGTTACTTTATAAATCTGTAAAATCCCAGCAAGTTTGTATTTT